GATTCTCAGCCTCTTCTCTGGTTGGGCCACCCGTGCTCCTACTGCCGCCCTCCTGGCCTGTCTGGGCTGGGCCCCCCATTGCCCCATGCAGCACCCCAAACCCTTCTATGCCCCTGCAGCTCCCCAGGAAGGTCTCAGCCCCCAGAGTCTGGAGGGGGCCGAGGCACTGGGCAGCCAGCCCGCTCCCACCTGCACCGAGCCGCCTCCCGCCGTGGGTACGATCGGGTGGGCAGGGGCACCTGTTAGGGAGGGCTCAGGGACCCACCCGCCTAAGGGCCCCACCCACCCGGGCGCCTTTGTCCACAGGCTCCTTGAACCTCTACCATCCCCCAGACCCAGAGAAAGAGGTGTTTCCGGCCCCTCCAGCAGGTACCGGCCTCCCCTGAACCCTTGATGAGGCTGGGAGTGGGTTTGAGGGCAGGCCCATCTTGCCCCTGCCCTGTCCCTAGGTGGGGGCCTGAAAGCATGGCCTCTGCTCCCCTGCTTCACACAGGTCCCCCAGATGAGCCCCAAAGACGAGCTCTGTGTTATCCATCACCCAGCCAGGGCCCCAAAGCAATACCTATGTCGTCCCCCAAAGGGGCCCCCCAATGGCAAGGTTCTCGTGGCATCCCCCAGACAGGCCCCCAGGCTTGAGCTGGGCCCATCAGGCAGCGGCTGCTCTCAGGCCACCTGCCTGCCGCCCACAGGTTTCCAGATGGCCCCATGCGGGTGCCTCTTCGACCCCCGCATCTATCGGATTGAATGGACCACCCCTGACCTGGGCCAGTCGGCCCTGTACAAGCTGGCGGCAAGCAGCGGGGGGCCAGTGGGGGGCCCCTCTGCCCCAGGCAGCTACCTCCTGGAGCCGCAACCCTACCTCAATGCCCCAGGGCTGCCCCCATACCCCCACTACCAACCAGCACCGGGGGGGCCCCAGTTCCTCTTGCCCTACTTCCCGCCTGAGGGCCCCGGGCCAGAGGCTCTGGGCTTTGTGGGGGACGCGGGACCTGCCGCCTTCATGGAGCTGCCCCTACCGCCACTCGAGGAAGGCCCGGCCCCACCACCCCCTCCACCTCCTAAGGAGAACAAGCCACCCCCTGTACTCATCACGCTGCCTGCAGAGCCCACACTGCCCCCAGACGCCTACAGCCACCTCCAGGGCCACGTCGGCCACTTCCCTGGGCCCGAACCCCTGGCCTTCCCCGCCAAGGAGCTACAGGGCAGCGGGGCCCGACCTGGGGTGCCCCTGTACCCACCAGGCCTCAGCGAGCTCAAGGTGGCTGAGGCCAAGGAGGGGGCCCTGCTGGGGGCAGGCGAGGCCAAGGCCCCCGAGACGGCCAGAGCTTTGGCACTGCCTGACAAGGTTCTGCTGGAGGACGCCATGAAGCTCTTCGACTGCCTGCCAGGCGCCACTGAGCCCGAGGGTGCCCTGTGCGAGGTCCCCGGGCCGGCCCTGCCTGACAGCAGTGGTGGGAACCCAGCCGATGACATCCGGTCGCTGCGCCTGCCCGAGGAGCTGCTGTCCTTCGACTACAGCGTGCCTGAGATCCTGGACACCGTGTCCAACGTCGACTACTTCTTCAACTTCAAGGCGCTCGACGAGGAGCAGCCACCCCACCCGGGGCCCCCTGCCGCCAACACCCCAGCCCCCAGTTTGCCCGGCAAGAGAAAGGCCTCAACGGCCAAGAAGGGAAAGCCGGGAGGGAAGGGCAAGCAGCCGGCAGGCCCAGCCAGCGCCACTTCCCCGGGGCCCAGGCAGGACCTGGGAGCCACCCCCCATTAAAGCACATTTGACCTTTCAGCTCCATGTCCACGTGGTGGCCTTGGGGATGGGGAAGGGGCTGGAGGTGCACACCTGGCCCCTCACCCTGTCATCCCGCAGACTGGCAAGGCAGTGCCTCTGGCCTCACAGTGAGGCCTCCAGAGCCTAGCAGGGGAACCCCGGAATGACAGGACACCCTAAACCCCTTGAGTCCCAGCCCTGGAAGATCAGACTCCACTGGCAGAGGCAGGGGCCTCCTGGGGCATGGGGTAGCTGACCTCCAGACTCGACGCGTTCTAAGGATTTTCACCCCTTTGGTGGGGAAAAGCAAGGCTGCCCAGAGAGGGGCAGGAACTTCCCCGGAGACACACAGCTATCAGGGCAGGGCTTGAGGAGCAGCCTCCAGATCTCCACCCAGCCGCCTCCTGTCCCCAGGAAGCCACAGTCACTGCAGGGAGGGCGGGAAGGGCCACACTCTTGTTCAGACAGACAGGTGGCTGCAGGGGCTTGACCTGATGGTGTGAGGGTGGGGGCTGGGGCAGGGATGGGGAGACTGCCCACGCGTGAAGGAGTGGGGAGCACACAGCACCCAGGGGACCTGGCATGTGCACCCGAGATGGAGACAGGAGACAGCACCTGGAGCCCAGGAGAGGGTCAGGGGCCCCAGTGGGCCACACTTTTGGGTCCAGGGTGGCAGGGACAGCCCCGCTACTGGTTACAAAACGGGATGGGCCCAGCCTCGGAAGAACCACCTCCGGGAGCTGGTTCCTGTCATCGCTCACCCACATCAGGGTCTCGAGAGCCCTCTTGCGGGTCCAGGCAGTGGCCACCTGTACCCTCCTCGCCTGAAACGTTCGTGGTGGTCCTGGGAGAGGCTGACCCCGTTGCCCTAGGGACACGTAAGGAAACAGGAGGCCGAGTGCCATCCAGCACCTCCTGGGATGAGGACACCCCTCTGGGATGGGAACCTTCAGCCTACCCCTTCCCCAGGCTACGGGCTGGATCTCCGGGGCCTCCGGAGTCTGCTGGGGGAGCCCCCGGGACGCTCACCTAGAGTCCAGGAGGCTGGTGGGTGTTTGGAGGCAGAGCAGAGACCATGGTCCCCGCTCTCTGCAGGGCACTGGGCCTCCTGCTCTCCGGAGCTACTCTCCCAGAAACCCTTATTCAAAAAACTCAGGAGGAGGCCAGGTGCAGTGGCAAACGCCTGTAATCTCAGCACTTTGGGAAGCCGAGGCGGGCAGATCACTTGAGGTCGGGAGTTCGAGACCAGCTTGGCCAAAATGATGAAACCCCGCCTCTACTGAAAATACAAAAATTGGCCGGGCGCGGTGGCTCACATCTGTAATCCCAGTACTTTGGGAGGCCGAGGCAGGAGGAACACAAGGTCAGGAGATCGAGACCATCCTGGTGAACACGGTGAAACCCTATCTCTACTAAAAACACAAAAAAATTAGCCGGGCGTGGTGGCGGGGGCCTGTAGTCCTAGCTATTCGGGAGGCTGAGGCAGGAGAACAGCGTGAACCTGGGAGGCGGAGGTTGCAGTGAGCCGAGATCACACCACTGCACTCCAGCCTGGGCGACAGAGTGAGATTCTGTCTCAAAAAAAAAAGAAAAGAAAATACAAAAATTACCTGGGTATGGTGGTGGGCACCTGTAATCTCAGCTACTCAGGAGACTGGCACAAGAATTGCTTGAGCCAGGGAGGCAAAGGTTGCAGTGAGCCGAGATGGTGCCACTGCTCCACCCTGGGTGACAGAGCAAGACTCCATCTCAAAAAACAAAAACAACTCAGGATAGTGTCTTGGGGCTGTGCAGCTGCGGCTGTCAAGGCAGGGTCTCACTGTCCCAGGGACTGTGCCATGTGCCCTCCTGGCATCTGCAGTGATCCCCATTCATCCCTGTTTCCCCCTTGGGACACAGGCTGGGAGAGACTCCAAACCCACTTTGTTTTTTTGAGACAGAGTTTCACTCTTGTCCACGCTGGAGTGCAATGGCACGATCTTGGCTCACTGTAACCTCCGCCTCCCGAGTTCAAGTGACTCCTGCCTCAGCCTCCCGAGTAGCTGTTTTTAGCTGTATTTTTAGTAGAGATGGGATTTCACCATGTTGGTCAGACTGGTCTCGATCTTCTAACCTCAAGGGATCTGCCTGCCTCAGCCTCCCAAAGTGCTGGGATGACAGGCGTGAACCACTGCACCTGGCCCCAAGCCCACTTTTCTCAGCTGCCTTCCAGCTCCTTCTCCCCGAAGCCTCACTGGGGTATCTCTGAAACTAAAACCAGGTGTCCCAAGTGTAGGGGAGGTCTTGGCTGATGAGGAAGTGGGGCAAGGACCTGGGATCACTTTTCTTGAAGATTAATGTGGAGTGAGAGTCACACAGTGAATGTCTGCAAGGACCCAAGTAGCAGCTTTTTTTTTTTTTTTTTTTTTTTTGTCTGAGACACGGGTCTCCTCATCGCCCAGGCTGGAGTATATGCTGTGATCATGGCTTACTGACAGCCAGTCGACTCCTGGGCTCAAGTCGATCCCTCCCCACCTCAGCCTCCCGAGAGCTGGCACACGACAGGAGTGCACCTGACACCAGCTAGCATGTCTTCAAAAAATGTTTTTTGTAGGAGATGGGGGTCATTGGTTACGTGTCCAGCGCTGATCTTGACTCCTGGCACAGTAGATCGCTGCCCAGCCTCGTTGTAGCTTATGTTCGGCAATTTAAAATGCATACAGAAATGAATATATTACATACATATATATATACCATCAACAGCACCAAAGAGTAATCAGAAGTCATCGAGCTCGACAAATTTCTCGCCTTAAAATGAGATGCGAACCCCGGTGCAGTGCCCGAAGTCAACCAGCCTTTGGGAGGACCTGAACACGGGACGGAGTCGCTTGAGCCCAGGATCTCCGACCAAGCCTGGCGCAAGTATGTCAAAACCCCATCTCATACAAAAACATCATAAAAAAAAAAAAAATTACCCAGTGCATGCTGCGTGACACTTGTAGTCCAACTACTTGGAGGCTGAGGGCAGGAAAATTGCGCTAACCCAGGAGACAGAGGCGCATTGCACTGAGCCAGACTCCCGTGCCGCACCTCCAGCCTGGGTGACAGAGCGAGACTCCCTTTCAAAAACAAAGAAAGAACAAAAAACGAAAAAATGGTGAATACATACCACTTCCTGCTGTGTTACACTATACTTTATTTGAAGACAAGGGGTCGGGACCCTGTGGACCGGCCTCAGTGGTCAGACCTGCCTCCGTTAAGAACTGCGGTGGCGTCCCATGGGCTCTGAGCTTGTCCTGGCTGTGGCCGAGGCCCTGAACTGGCAGACCGTCTTGCATCTCCCATACAGCTGTGCCACAAAGCTCGTCATCCTGCGGCCACGTGCTGTGCGTAGCAGCCTGGGGATCATGTAGGCCAGCCACACGGACCCCAGGATGCTGGAGATGAGCAGTACCATGACAACCCCGGCAGAGACCAGCTGCACGGGGAATGCTCCATACACGTAGATGCTAAAGACGGTCTCCAGTTGACAGTAGCTGCAGGGGGGTGGGGGATACAGGGAGAGGCCATTGGGCATTGCCTTTGGGGGACTTTGCCTTGTCTCTGGCAAAGGTGTTCAGACCCACAGGAGGGAAAGCCAGGCCAACAGCAGTGACCGGGTATACCCACTTCTGTTTCCATCCACTATGACTTTTTTTTTTTTTTTTTTGAGTCTGAGTCTCTGTCGCCCAGGCTGGAGTACAGTGGCATGATCTCGGCTCACTGCAACCTCCGCCTCCTCAATTCAAGCAATTCTCCTGCCTCAGCCTCCCAAGTAGCTGGAATTGCAGGCACCTGCCACCATGCTTGGCTAATTTTTGTGTTTTTAGTAGAGATGGGGTTTCACCATGTTGTTGGCTGGTCTCAAACTCCTGACCTCTAGTGATCCGCCTGCCTCCGCCTCCCAAAATGCTGGGATTACAGGTGTGAGCCACTGCACTCAGCCCACTTTGACTTTTATGGGGTTTGGTTTTGTTTTGTTTTTTGAGACGGTGGAATCTGGCTGTATTACCCAGGCTGGAGGGCAGTGGTGCAATCTCAGCCCACTACAACCTCTGCCTCCCGGGTTCAAGTGATTCTCCTGCCTCAGCCTCCCGAGTAGCTGGGATTACAGGCGCCCACAATCACACCTGGCTAATTTTTAGTAGAGACGGAGTTTCTCCATGTTGGCCAGGCTTGCTCGAACTCCTGACTTTAAGTGATCCACCTGTCCTGGCCTCCCAAAGTGCTGGGATTACTGGCATGAGCCATTGCGCCTGGCCAACTTTTATGGGTTCTGAGTCTGCCATCCTCTCTGTGCCCTCTGGCAGCTGTCACCAGGGTCCCCATTCTCCCCAAAAGCCCAGACTCTGGCTAGAAAGGGTGGAAGGGGCAAACTAAATGGTCCATCAACAGCGGGGAAGTGGTGGATAACAGTGGAGGCTAGGTCAGGGCAGGAAAGGTTCAGGGGTATCACAGAACCCACAACGGGGAGGGGGACAGTGCAGGCCGCGTGGTGCAGGGAGCAGATGTGGCAGGGGAGAGTCCCACACCTCTCTCCTCTCTCCTGTGGACATCCTCACCCTACCCAGTGCCTTCCACCTGCTGCCACCCCAGAGCTGATCCTCCTAGGCTGGGGCCTCTAGGGAAGGCAGGACCTCCACGTGTTTTTTTTTTCAGGGGGTGAACTTTCATCCTTCTGGAGAGGGCAGGTGATGGGTGACAATGACTTCTAGCAGGGGTGAGGATATGAGGAAGATGCCACCTGGTGTCCCCCTCCCAAAGGGACACACTGATCCACATGGCATGGCTTAGATGTGGCTTTATAATCTCCTGAGCACCTGTCAGTGCTAAATATTTAACAGCTGGCTCTCAGAGGGGAAAGCCCTCCTGGGTAGTGTCTACCGATTCCTGAGGTGTAAATATTTCCACTGTGGTTGATTCCAAGCCACCGACGTGCAATTGACCCATGGAAGATTCCTGAATTTTTTTTTTTTTTTGAGACGGAGTCTCGCTCTGTTACCCAGGCTGGAGGGCAGTGGAGTGTGCAGTCCAGCACTGGCAACCTCTGCCTTCCCAGGTTCAAACGATTCTCCTGCTCAGCCTTCGCCGAGCAGCTGAGATTAAAGGCCCTTGCCAACCATGCCTGGGCTATTTTTGTGATGTTTTTAGTAGGAGACGGGGTTTCAGCATGGTTGGTTCCGAGGCTGGAGATTCCTGATATACTTGAGGAGTCTGTACTCCTGGCGAGGCCAGTTTGAGCCAAGTTGAACCGCAGGCCATCCAGCACACCCTAGGCCGACGGGGAGATAGGATGAGGACTCGGGCCGTGTTGGCCAGGCAGCGGTGCTGCGGCTCCGGGGTCCACTGCTGGTTCCCCGCACCCAGTGCAGGGACTCTGAAGAATGAGTATATTTCACATAGGACAACAAATGTCACCCAGAACTTAAATATCACTTGTCCTGGGGACAGCCCTGGGCCGTTGGGGATTCAGGGTTTGTCCCCCGAAACAAATGCGGTGACCTGCCCCAGGCATCCAGGCGTTCCCCGTCGTTGGGGCAGATGGGCCTCGCTCACCCTGTAGTACGGAATCCACAATGGAAAATGTAGAAGGATCATAGAAGCCGTTGTTGGGTGGCTAAAAATGATCTGGTTTGCATTGTCCGGCCGCCCAAAGATCTATTACTGGACATCTGGGGCCACCCTCAAAGGGGCATCGTTGTTGGGGTCGTGGCAGCTCACGTAGTTCTTGGGGGGACATGAGGCGTGCCCACTGGCCCCTGGGGCTGGTCTGGAGGGGCCCTGAGCCTCCGTCTCTCCCTGCCGGAGGCCCTGCGCCCACCCGCAGTCCTTCGTTAGGCATGCATGGGTGGCACTTCTGGGGTCCAAGTGCCCATGTTGTGGGGGCAGGTTCGATTGCTTCCCTGCAGCGGAGACTGGACGGAGGCTGCTCAGCCTCCATCTCACCTGCCTCTGTTGGAGGCCAAAAGATTGAGCGTCCATGATCATTCAGTATTACACTGGAGGCTTATGAGTAAAATACGGCACACTGTTCTCATTAAAAGGCAGAATGTTGGCAACACTGACAAAGTGCGTCTGCCGCCTGGGGAAAAATGCTGAGGGCAGTACGATCCGAACGGGCACAGAGTGTTCGTCTTGTGGATGTAGGGTACCATTTTCTGGAAGCCTATTAGTAAATAGTATGAAACACTGGATCAGTAAGCAGCTGGACCAATCGTTACCTCCTCCTCACCTGCTCTTTGTTTTGTTTTGTTTTTTGTTTTGGAGATGGAGTTCACTCTGTCGCCAGGCTGGAGGTGGCAGGTGGCGCGAATCTCGCTCACTGCAGGTCCCCCTCCCGGGGGTTCATGCATTCTCCTGCCTCAGCCTCCCGAAGTAGGCTGGGAACTACAGGCACCCGCCGGCACACGCCCGGCTAATTTTTTTTTGTATTTTTAGTGAGGACCGGTTTCACCGTGTTAGCCAGGATGATCTCGATCTCCTGACCTTGTGATCCGCCCGCCTCGGCCTCCCAAAGTGCTGGGATTACAGGTGTGAGCCACCGTACCCGGCTCCTCTTTGCTTTTTCTACCCAATAAATAGGGAGGGCTATGGAAGCTTGGGGGGCTGCCTTTGCTCACTAGAAGCAGGGAGCTCTCTTCTTCCCCATGCCTCTTCCTTAAAACAGTTTCTTTTGTCTTAAATGTTCATTTCTATGTTCGTTCTCCCTTATTCATTCCCCCTTCATTCAGTCTTGTAATGACGGTCTCAAGTAGTAACAGTAGTAACTTTTGTAGTGAGCATCTCAAGTAGTAACCGTGGCAGTCTGCCCCATGCCTCCTTTCGGGCCGTCCTGGGCTGTGGAGGCTGCAGGCTTAATAACTCAGCCTGGGTGAGAGTCAGGTGCTGCCAATGACTTTTTTATTTTGGGACATTGTCTTCCGCTGTCCCCGCGTGGTGCTGCCGCACTCATGGGCCCTGCAACCTCTACCTCCAGGTCCTGCGCTCTCCGGGCTCAGGCGGGTGGCCACACGCCTCTAATTTCTGTTTTTTTTTTTGGAAGCGATCTCGTCTGTTGCCAGGCTGGAGTGCAGTGGTGCGTATCTCCGCTAACTGCAGCTCCGCCTCTCGGGTTCACAACCACTCTCTCCTCAGCCTCCGAGTAGCTGGGACTACAAGCGCCGCCACCCCACGCCCGGCTAATTTTTCTGTATTCTTCAGGAGAGACCAGGCTTTCTGTGTTAGCCAGCTGGTTCGATCCTCCTGACCTCTGTGACTCCGCCAAGTGCTGGGCTTACAGGGTTGAGCCACCACAACCTCCAGCTAATTTTTGTATTTTTCATCAGAGATCGGGCTTTCACCTGTGGCAGGCTGAGCTCTACTTCTGACCTCGTGATTCCACCTGCCTCTAGCGCTTCCAAAATGCTGGATACGGGCGGGCGGCCCAGTGCTGGCCACACACACACAAAACGCCTCTTTGTTTGTTTCACTCTACTTTGTTGCGAAACAGCCTCGCTTCTGTTACCGCACGTCGCTCGCACCTGGTGCAGTTTCGGCTCCTGCACCTTCCACCTCGCGGTTCCCACGCGACTTCTCCACCCTCACAGCTCCGCAGTAGCTGGGATTACAGCGTGTGCACCACTATGCCAGGTACTCTCGCATTTTTAAGTCAAGCGGGTTTCCCATGTTAGCTGGCTCTGAGCTCTGCTTCTGATCTGCCCCACCTCGGCTCCAATAGTGCTGGGATATAGTCGTCGGAGCGCCCGCCTGCGAAAAACTTCGTGTTCTACACGAGCCACCCACTCACCCGCTGATGGAAAAAAAACAAACTAGTGATGTGGGCACTCTCCTTAGAACGCCCCTCATTATGCTGAGACAGCTCTACGAAGAATGCTTACGACATACCAAACCGAGCCAGCCGGCTGCGCCGCTGCGCTCCTTCCTATAATCCCGCATCTTCTTATTTGCTCTTCTGTTGGAGCCGAGGAGGCGCAGATCACGAGGTCCGGAGTTCGAGACCAGCCCTGTGCCCCGTGCAAACCCATCTCTACTAAAAATACAAAACCTAGCAGGCGTGGTTGGCAGTGTGCTTGCAAGTCCAGCTAACTCCAGGGATGAGCGCCAGGAGAATTGCTGACCCAGGCGGTGGAGGTTGCAGTGCTGAGATTGCGCCACTGCATCTACAGCTCTGGGGGACACAAGTGAGGCTCCTCTCCACAAACAACCAAACAAAAGGCAAATGCCAAAAAAAGCTATGCAGCCATCTGCTGGGTGGGCTTTTGCTGCTGTGCTGCATTTCCTGATACAAACACGTGCCAGGAAGACCAGTGGGACCTGATGCAGTCTTCCTTGTTAGGAGCACAGCCACTCACACTTATCCTTGTCGTCCCGCTGAACCAAACTCGCATTATAGAAATACACACTGAGAGGGGCCGGGCACGGTGGCTCACACCTGTAATCCCAGCACTTTGGGAGGCCGAGGTGGGCAGATCACGAGGTCAGGAGATTGAGGCCATCCTGGCTAACATGGTGAAACCCCGTCTCTACTAAAAATACAAAAAAATTAGGCAAGCGTGGTGGCGGGCGCCTGTAGTCCCAGCTACTCAGGAGGCTGAGGCAGGAGAATGGCATGAACCCGGGAGGGGGAGCTTGCAGTGAGCCAAGATCGCGCCACTGCACTCCAGCCTGGACAACAGCGCGAGACTCCGTCTCAAAAAATAAAAAATAAAATAAAAAAATAAAGACACACTGAGGCCGAGTGTGGTGGCTCAGGCCTATAATCCAGCGCACTGGGGAGCCGAGGTGGGAGGATCGCTTGAGCCCAGGAGTTCAAAGCCAGCCTGTGTAACATACTAAAACCCTGTGTCTACAAAAAAAAAAGATACAAAAATTAGCCAGGCATGGTGGCGCACATCTGTAGTCCCAGCTAATTGGGAGATTGCATAAAGGAGGCGCCACGATTCTGAGTAACCCACACGCTAAGTCCAGCGAAATTGAGGCTGGGAGGATCACTTGAGCCTCGAGTCCTTCAGCTGAGCTGAGATTGTGTCCTGGCACTCCAGCCTGCCCATTCCAGTAGCGAATTACGCCGTTCCCTATCCTAAAACGAAATAAAATAAGGCCCGGCGTCCGCAGGGTGCCTGTATCCCAGCACTGTCTTTGGGAGGCCGGGAGACGAGGCGGATCCGAGGTCAGGAGATCGAGACCATCCCTGCTCTCTACTAAAAAAACAAAAAAACTACCCGTCCTGGCAAGGACGCGGGCCCCTGTGTCGCATTGCTACTCACAGATGGTCTGGTAGTGCAGGCGAGAATGGCATAAACCTTCCAGGACAGGGGCCGACTTGCAGTGGAGCTGAGATGTGTGCCACTGCACTCCAGCCTGGGCGACAGTCCAGACTCCATCTCAAAAATAAAAAAAAAAGAAATAAAAATAGGCTGGGCGCGGTGGCGTCAAGCCTGTAATCCCACGCACTTTGGGAGGCTGAGGCAGGGCGGATCACGAGCGTCAGGGAGACCAACGACCCATCCTGGCTAACACGGGCGGGCTTGAAACCCGCAATCTCTGACTAAAAAAACATACAAAAAACTACAGACGCGGTGAGGTCGGCGGCCCTGTATCAACAGCCATACTCCGGAAGGCTGAGGCAGGAGATAGTGAGTAAACCCAGAAGGGCAGAAGCTTGCGAGTGAGCTGGGCTCACGGCCAACTGCACTCCCAGCCTTGGCGACTAGAGCGAGAACTCCATCTCCAGAAAAAAAAAAAAAAAAAAAAGAAAGAAAAATAAAGAACCAGTAGTGTACCAGCGTTATGGAGTAATGCGCACCCCTGGTGGGAATTTCCCATCCATCCCGCAGATAGCAACCATTGGGCATCTGGGTGACCTCTAAGGCATGTTCATTCTCAGCAAAGTCCCCGAGACCACCGCACTGCATTTCCCGTCTTTATGGGCAGTTTCCTTAAATTCACATGGCCAAAAGGCCTTGTTACAACCTAGATCAATTGAACTGAGGCAGTTCCCCGCTACACAAGACTCCCCGCCTAAGGGAACGTCGAGTCTTTTGGCAGTCCCATAGAATCATCTGCCTCAGCTGCACCTCCTCTGCCATCCCCGGACACAGCCGACTTCTCTTGCCATCAGTCCCTCGCTGAGTAGGCTGAGAGTCACCAAGGTGTGCGCCCAGCCTATGCCACGGCTGACTATTTGCATTTCTTTACTAAGAAAGAAACAGGGTTTAACCCATAGAGAGATGAGCCGAGGCTGGTCTCACACACAACACAAATCAACACACACACAAAACACACACACAGACCACACCCAGAGTGCTGGAACTACCAGGCGTAAAGGTCACGCGACACACACACACCTACATACATATTCAATAAACTATCCGTGTCTCACATCTCACCGCGTCTTGGGCTGAGGACCGACCTGATTCCTACTGGAAAGCATGCCAATCCTCGAGCCGGGTCGCTGTTACGCGCCCGGCGCGCCGAGCAGAAACGGGAGACCACACAGGGTTCGCTATGTTGCAGAGCTTCAGGACCAGTTCTGCAGAGGAACAGAGGAGGTGCACCGAGATTGTACACAAACAAAAACAACACACATCAGGGATTGAGGGAGGACAAAACAAAAACACACACGTTCAACAAAAACCACAGTAACAACATACCGAACATCAAGACGAACACACAAACAATGGAAACGGTCAATAATTCACAACACAAAACAGACAACAGACACAGGAGAAACAGGACAGCAACAGAAGCAAAACAAACACACAGAAAAAGACTAGAAGGCTCAGAGCCACCCTGGAACAAAACGCAAAGAGGCAAACA